AAATGTACACAACAACGAGGACATTTTCACATTTACTTCTAGTAAAACTAGAGACTTGTTCAGCATCTTCAGATAAATTTAAGGTTTCTAGTGTCGATGCCTTTACTTTATCCTTGAACCCAAATACTGTTGGATTTCCCCTTGATGAACAAGAAAGTCATCAACAATTTCTCTAATATTAATTTACCTTCACCCCTGAACGTTTAAAAGTGAAGCTCTTTCACTCGTATACATTAGTGGGTTGATTGCTTTTTTCCATTTCCACAGATTGAACTGAACATGACATGTAGAATTAAATGTATTTCTGGCTATCCAAATATATTACTGCGCGGCATTCCTATTACATGTAATCTCGCTGGATGCTCAAAAACCATTTATCAATCGTTGGATACCCAATTAGGCCTGCATGTTGGTGTGATATTGCTTCCGCGACATTAATGGCAGAGTCCCATCTTCTTGATAGCCTCTCTGAGAGCCAAATCAAGCTTCACCATGTAAAGCACCTCATCACCTTCTACCGAGTGAAAGGCCACCTATAACTATACCCCTGTGGTCTGTGCATGGTACCCTAATGACTGCATGGGAGCATCAATTACACTCCATTTGAAGGCTGCATGAACGTTGACTTTCAGAAGTTGGGGTTTGGCCCTAGGATATGTCCATACATAATGTTGAACTGCTTGTTCTTTGAGTAGCATGTTGTCTCTTTTGCACAATAAAATGCCTTGCTCCTTGCCACTCAGCATAAATTCCAAAGACCACATACACAGTTCTTCCAGGATCAACTGTGTCCCTGCTAAACCACATGTATCCCTGGGACACAAATTTGAAAGTTTTCAGATGCTTGGTGTTCATCTCCTATCATCTTTAAAGAGGGGCTGCCCCTATCTCAATTCTCCTCGAAATCAATATTTCACTCATTCATCAAAGTAAAAATCAATCAATTTAAATGTCAAAGAACACCATCAAGATGTAGAATTGAAAATCTATAAAACCCATAAAAGAATTCTACTGATAAATGTCGAAGTGACAGAAATAGAAAGCAACAAAAGGTGTCACCTGACCTTGTTCAGCAGTTGCACGGTTCTGTTGTTCTAACCAGCTAACCAACAGAATATTCAAAGACAGATCTGCTGCCTGCTGGTAATCTTTCCATCTTAATTTTGTGGCGTGTACCTTATCTGAGCAATCAATTTCTTTCTTCAAATTATGTTCTACAATGTTGGAAAGTAAGATAAATTATATATAAAAAAATTACATGTTAGAATTAAGAAAATGAAAAAAAGAAGTTCTCATATAGCATAAACCAAGGGAATTACATATATTGAGTCACTGAATAAAGGAAACATTTAACCAATGTGTCTCCATTTTTCCATCAACTCTTAAAATATATCTTGAGCTGTTTCCTTTCTTCTTCATTACATTTGAACCACAGAGTTAATCATGAAGTTTGGTGTAGAAGGGCTAACTCTTATAGCTTCATCATTATAATCGTAGCTTTCACTTGCTATGAGCTTGTTTAGCAGTTAAGGCTGTGGGAAAAAGTTTCGACTTGTTTAGAAAATACTTCACATGTTGAAAGAAACTAAGCTGAGCTTTTGACAACTAAATAGAGAAAGGTGTGTTTACCTGTGATTCTTTGACAGGGTTGGAGTGACAAGGATTCCCTTGATGTTCTTGAAGATTAACTTTCAAAAATTATAACCAAATGAGCATACAGTGAACACATGAATGCATAACTAATCAATACTTCAACATGCAAGTGTATTCAACTCTCGTGTTTTTGCTGTCCTGCATGTCTTTTAACTCAGTTTCCATGAACAAATACTTACAACCACCATCTCGACTAGGGGTATTGGGATCATCCAAATTAATTCATTCTATTCCTAATGGTTGATTGATGTGATCTTTCAACCAAACCGTGGAAGTTTGCTAAGGACGCCAACAGGGGTCAGGGAGCAAGAAGAAAGGCTTAGTCTAGGCAGTTTGGTACACAAAATGCAGCCAAAGGAGCCAAAACCTACAACAAGAAAGAGAATTACATGGGCCAGTCAAAAGTGTAGGACTTCATAGACTGCCTATAACAAAGTTAAAGCCAGAATCAACTCCTGCAAACTAAATCAGCCTAAGCCAGTTTGGTACACAAAATGCAGCCAAAGGAGCCAAAACCTACAACAAGAAAGAGAATTACATGGGCCAGTAAAAAGTGTAGGACTTCATAGACTGCCTATAACAAAGTTAAAGCCAGAATCAACTCCTGCAAACTAAATCAGCCAAGTAAGAAACAGCTGTAGCAATGCAGAAACAGTTGTTAAACCCAGAGAAACAATTGTAGTATTGCTGCCTCATAATTTGCATCAACAGATTAGAATCAGTAGGATTAATGCAACAGCAACATTACCACTGAATGCATAGTGAAATAAGATTTCTCACAAAACAAGCATCATCAACCAAAACAGTCGAATACAAGGCACGAGATCAGAGAGGTGTCTGCAGTCCATAACAGAGAAGCAGGAGCAAAATGTCAGTCCTTATATGAAGAACGAACTTATCAGTATTTTGATTCTATTGGAGCTAATTAAACATAGCATCCCAGAGACAATATACTTCCAAGAATGAATTCAATTGTAGCAACTTATTGCGAAATAAGCAACATTTAGTGAAACAGTCCATAAGCAAGAAACAAAACTCTATCAAGTTAAGCTAATTATCCACATTCACAATTTTCAAAATGACACCGAGGAAAGGACATGTTTGGCACATAAATTAACAGCCACATAAAGCTGATATAAAATCCTGAACAGATCTTTTCTGCATTCTTCCATAAATTGGCTTCTTTTCCATTCCTTCTAATACCATGGAAGTGTGCCATCGTCAGTCACTCAGGTTAAATATCAATGATATTTCTATTTAAGCATGCTCATATGATACAAGTAAAAGAGTAACCAGCACGGCCAGAGAAGAGAGCATGTAAGAGATGTAATTACAGATAGAAAACAGAAAGCACAAAGATTGAATTTAAGAATGTAATATGAAAGATCACAAGTACAAAGAATTTCATACATGAAGGAAAGCACATTGTTTTAACTCTTGGAAACCTCAAAAGTTGAGAACCTATCGGAAAATTATAGGTAAATCTACAGATTTGGTGTCATCCTTGACAGATCCCCAACAATTCTTTAGAACACCTTAGCAGCTGTTCCATTGCTGAGGTGCAAGTCCTGAGTGCAAGCCTTCATAGAGGAACTTGGGTCCACCATCTGGAATTAACCTCTCATCTAACTTTCTCTTACTATACTTCAGCAGATAGCGGTCATTTTTTCCCTTGCAACTTTTATCATCAGGTGTCATAGACTCATTTCGTTCCCTAAAAGATTGAGAACCAGAGTTCACACTATGGTCATTCCCCCTTGAGTCTATCAATTTGCTGGAAAAGCTCTGTTCTCCCATCTTCGAACACTTGCCCGCATTTCCATCTTTCTTAGCATTAGGTCTGATTTTACCATCACCAATTCCATTCGATTTCCGACACTCCACGTCCACACTTTTACTCAGAAAATCATCACGCTTTCCACAAGCACTGGGATTCCTAAAATCAGAATCTCTAATCCGCGTTTTACCATTACCCTCCCCTCTCCTAGCAACACCCAAACAACTTGAATTAACCAAGCACAAATTACTCGATATCCGGGGCGAGCTATTTATTGCTCGATGCAACCGAAACGCCAATTCAAAATCATCAACATCATTATTCTCCTTAACAACCCCATTATTAGCCACCATATCCAATGCTTTCCTGGCCACATCCGCCGCATTCCTCTCCTCCAACGCCTTCCTCACAGCCAAATCCCTAGCCCTAACCGCAGCCTCAACCTTCTCCTGTACCACACAATTAGCATCCTCCAAACTTCTACCCAAAACCCTACCGCTATTCCTCTTGCTATCCTTACAAACTCCCCCCCTCTTACTAGCAACCGAATTAGGCACCCAACAATCTATACAAACAAAAAAATCACCACCACCACCACAACTAGAATACGACCAAGGGGTGACAGCCTTACGTTTTGCAAAACATGATTTATGAACAACCCTCTTACATTGGCAACAACGAAAACACTTAGTCTTATCAGATGATTGTCTGAAACAATAAGAGCAAATCCCGGAAGACTCAACAAGATTAAAACATTTCGTACAAAGAAGGATGATTCGCCACTCACTGTATAAAATTTCGAGTCTTTTATGAGAGGGGGTGCGGAGACCACAAGACTGACATTCTGTCAGATTTGGCTGATCCCTTGTCTTCTTGGCTCCGTTGCTGATAATGGGCTGTTCTTGTTTTGCTCTCATTCTCTCTTGATCCATGGAGAATTTCTGATCAAGATTAGCTTTTTATCGCCTTCATCCTCTTCCCTGCCTATAAACCTGGCAGGAGGAGGGAACAAAGGAAAATGAGGGGTGGGGTTATTGACCTTTGGAGATCCTCATAGGTTTTATATTTTATACAAGTAGTCCCTCAACAAAATAGTTTCTTAGTTTTACTCCCACACTTTAAGTTTCTTTATACGGTTAATCCATCTTTTTGCACAGTGTTTTTTGGATATTTCTTGGAATATGCTACGAATACTCGATAAAATCGTGGAGGAAAAAAAAGAAACATAAAAAGAAATACTAAAAAAATGAAAATAAAAGGCATAAAATCTTAGATTTATATGAAATGGATGAAAATATTTGAAACTAAAAGGATAAGTATAAGAAAATAAAAAATAAAAAATAAATCTTGAAAGGGGATGATCTTGCGGATTATATATTTTTTAGATTTGATTTATTATTTCTTCATTATCTTTTATATTTATATTTACCTTTTTAGGTTTCAATTTTTATATATTTCTTTATTTCATGATGTTTCAATTTTTATATATTTCTTTATTTCTTTATTTTTTTTTCAAATTTACTAGTAATGAGTAATGAGAAAGAGGAATTAACAGTAAAAAATTACTTTTTTTCTTATTTTTTATTTTTAATATAAACACATCAAAATTATTATAAACATTATTTTTATTTTTAATATAAACACATCAAAACTATTATAAAACATTAAAAAAAATATCAATTTTTTTTATGCAGCCAAAGAACATGATCTTAATAAATTAAAATCTAAATACCCAGCTCAACAATTATTTAAATTTTTTTAAAATATAAAAACAAAGCTAATCCAGTATTTAAATTGTCATGATCCTTAATCACCAACGTTGAGGCAACCTTTCTCTTCAATTTCTTTCAATGAATTTTATTTCTGTGTAGAATTATAACTAAGTTTTGAATAATAAATTTTTAATATTACTAAAATATTTAGAGATAGAAATAAAATAAAATAAAATAAAAATTTTAATTTTTTTTACTAGTATACTGTAAACACAATGAAAAAGAAATTTTTACTAGTATACTGTAAACACAATGACAGAGAAAAAAATCGATGCAAATATTAAAAAAAAAGTTAACAAATACTAGAAAAAAATTTACAAAATTATTTTAATTTTTTAAAAGGATAAAAATAATTTCATTTTGGATTAAACTCCATCAAATTAATAAATATTTTTACTAATTAATAACTTTTTTCACTATAATTATAAGAGTTATACAAATATGTGTAGCTTATTAAACATAGCTTATAATTATAAGTAATGTAACTTTGAAAGATATAACTTAATTAATTAGAATTTAGATTTGTTCTATAGAAGTTATTAATTTAAGTTTTATAAATTTTAAAGTTTCTGATTATTAATTTTAAACTCATGAAATTAGTGCATTTATATAGGTTGGTCTGAATACTTATATCAATAAAAAAATATAAAAATAAAAATGGAGGAGGAAAGTCTCTGTTAAGCAGGAAACAAATATTTCTAGTTATCTAGCAGCATTGGCAGCCCTTTGTACAAATTCACGGTGGCTACTGAGAAGCAATTTAACATAATCAATGATCTGACAGACAATCCCAAATAGCATCTCCATGTTGATGGGATATTTCTTCAGCTATCATGGCTGAATCAGTCTCCGAGTCAGCACTCCCATCACTGCATATCCCAATTTGTCCGATCATCTCGGTGGAAAACCATCACGTGACTTTTGGTTTTTAAGGTGGCGGAGTGGCCCCAGAAGCTCTCCATCTTGCTGAAATGCTTGTTTGAGTGGCGTGTTGACCCTTTTGCTCAAAAGCATGCCTCGCTCCTCGCCGCTGGCCAAAAACCCCTTCGCTCATTCTTCTCGCCGTGGTCGGAATCCAGGCTGCAATCTCGTGGGTAAAGTATCGTCTGTTACTTTTTTACCATCTTAATAAATTTTTACCAATTTAATTTTAAATCTGAGCTAAATAAAAAGAGTTTTCAAATCTAATCCATTATACTAAATTTAATAATAATATAAAAAAAATTATATATTCTAGATGTTTTTTTAAAAAATAACCTTCAATTTTTATTTTTTTAAGCCGCGGTGTAGTATGATTAATAACCTAATTAACAAAATAACAAAAATATATGGGTTGATTTACTGTTCAGGTGAAGTGCAACTTAACCTTATATAGCATAATTTAATGGAATTAGATTTAAATTATCATAAAAATATAAAATTAAAAGAAAATGAACTAAAAAGTAAATTACACACGAAATTCATGAAAATTTTATTTTGGTATAAAAACTTATCTTTATCTTATAGATTTTTCTTTTCTCTATTTTCATATTATTAAAACCACATTTGAAAACATAATTGAAACCACGTTACTTTAGATTTAAATTTTTTATTAAATAGTTTTTATATTTATTTTTAACATGCTAATTTTAAAAATAATTTTTAAAAAATAAAAAAAAATTATTTTAATATATTTATATATATATAAAAAAAAACACCTTAAACCACAACATAAAAAAAACACTTTAATCCCAACGTTAAATCTTCCATGAAAAGCTAAAGGTGCCACAAGCATTGATCTACTGACATTCAACAGCCAATCATCCGTTCAAGTCCCAAACGACTCAACTTTCTTTGCTAGTGAAGCGCATGTGTTTTTTAGCATTTTAGTGATTCTACATGGCCGGCCATTCTCCTAAAAACACTCAAAAAAATCATTTCAAACCAAAAAAATGAAAAAGCAGGCGAGTCTATTAAGAAGCCAGATACACTTGCAGTAGATACAAAATTATAGACCAAGCTTTGAGAAGAATAACATGAATTACTTTGGAGACATGTCAAATTCCTAACAAGCAAGGAGGGGATGAAAGAAAAGACTGCTAATACACTACTCTGTCAAACAGGTGACAGCCAAAAAAGAATGATATTATAGAAGCTCAAGAGAAATATTTGTATCTCCTTTTTCTTTGAAGGACAGACCACTATAGTCTCCTTGTTAAATTTCAAGGCTAAATCACATCTAGTTGGAAGCACAGCAAATGTATAGAATGACTTGGATGGTTGTTTCCAAAAATCTCCGGTCTACTGTGTAGAGATTAATCAGATGTTTAGCGGCTCTGCCTCGGTATCCCTTTCCTTCATCGACCACTCTTCTGTCTCTGTAATAATTCACAACAGGCAAGTATTGGAACCATTAGCACCATATTTTCTCCCACCATGCAGCAGGCATAATATAATGTAAAATGAACTGAGCACTGCATTTATATCAAAGTTCAACAGAAGTAGCAAAGATTAAGGCAAATATTTACTTGGCTTGTCTGCAATCATCATGAGCCTCCTCTGCAAGATAGATGCCATGAAGAGGAAAATCGAGCACATGCCGAACATAATGGTGATAGGGAAAGCATTAACCTTCAAATCAAAAACCAAAGAACGAGTTAGTAACGAAAACAAGAGACACTCGGTGTTTCCAGTCATGGTAGGATGGGTGGGGAGGGGGAAGGTGGTAAGCATGGAGCAAAAAACTACTTCCAGGTTACAGATTGGTCATGCTGAAGATGGCTACCAATGGAGTTGGTCTTAACCAGTCGAATGTTAAACCAGTGCACTTTTTCCACTGAGGGTTATCAAAACTAATATGCACTGGCATAAATTCATAAATTCCTGGAAATTAATCTGGGTTTTTTCAGCTCTATAAGCAATTCTACATTTGCTACTCCTAATGAGTCATGATACACAGTAAAGCTAGTAACTTACATTGTACAGAACAATGCACACAAAGATATTGAGTGGAATGCGGAAGAAGTTCATGATGGTGCTCCTGGCCTCCTCAGGAATGTATTGGGACCTCATCTTCATAATGGAAGGCCAGAATATCCCTACACAAGCCTCAAAGGTACAGAAGCCGAGTATCTGGAGACAGCCTGAGAATGAGATGCCTTCACCTTTCTCTTTAGGAGGTGGCACTAAGAACTGTTCCATGTCAGAGAAACTGAAGATTAATAAGAGAAATTGAAAGGGGCAAGAAAGGAGTAAAAGAATGGATGGGAAATTATACATACACTGGATACAATAGGAAGCAAAAGAGAGGCTGATGAAACAACAAAAACAATCTGCATGTAGCTCTCTACTCTGGGTGATGAGCGGGCCATCAACCGAGATGCAAGAGAGCTTCCCAACATTGAGGCCAACATGAATGTAGCAAAAATAAATCCGTGAGGAATCTCTTCATCATTTGGGCTCAAAGCTGGTGTCCAAAGGAACACAAAGGTATACATAGAACCTTCAAACAGAGACTGAATGGCACCCAGCAAAGCAATTTTTTCATCTGAACAATATTTAACATAATTCAGAGGAAAAAAAGAAAAAAGGAAAAGGGAAGAAAATGGGGAAGGAATGTTGAAAACAAGGAAGAAACAAACTGAAAACAAACTAGCTTGCCATACACCACAAGGAACAATGAATGCATCATGCAAAGCAACTAGAGGACTCTACCAGAAGCAATGGCCACAGCAGCACCCCTAAATTGGGCAAGCAAGTCCTTGTTTTCTGAAGGATCTCCATAGTTCTCTGACCATGATGACATAATAATAGCCATTCCAATTGCAAGAAAGCATGCAGCAGCATCAAAAGGAGCCACAGGACCAAGTTGAAATGTATCTACAAGAAGGTTTCCAAACAATCCAGACAAAATTGCCACAAGACCATTTCCCAGAAAAATCGCCTTTGAAAATGTCAGTGATAGCCATTGTTGCTCAAAGCCCCTCTGCACCAGTAAAGCGAAATAAAGAAGAATTAAGATAGGCAACATTCAAAGGTAATCAGGCATCAGTTACTGATTAGATTGAATTGATTTTAGCAAAGACTAGCACGTAGAAACTGCTATAGCAGAAACTTGGATTGGAAATCTTGAACCAATTAATTTTAGGAGGTTCTCTGACATACCAAGTGATCACTTAATTATTTGTTCTTCTAGACCTAAATGCAGCCAGTAATAACAAATAGCACTAAAGCAGAAACACGATCCTTTACCTTATTGTGTTCCGCAACCAGCCATGACTCAAATGATGAAAATAGGAGAGAAGTGGCGATACCTCCCAAGACACGGCCTATCATTAAAACTCTGTACTGAGGAGAATGCTTGGTAATGCAGCTCAGTATATAGGTAATGC